ATAAGGAGGTGAGAGAACAGGCAACAGCTGGGAAGCTATTTTGTTAAAATTGTTTGGCTTTAATTACTGCAGTGTCCTAGTACCGCTTATACGTTTCCAAAGGAGTAGATCCTATAAATGTCTTTGTCTCTGGACTTTTGAGTAAAATAGTAGGGTGTGCTTTGCAAAATGTCGTCGCTGATGTTGAGTTTCAGAGTCTTTAATTAGGAAACTGAAATCTGTATATCGAGATTTGTAAATCATCTAAATTGCAGAGTGATGTTTTAGAATACTGCTTAAGGGATTGACATTAAAGCCTTTCTTTTTTTTTTTTTAAGAAATGCAATAATTTCCTCAAATCCTTACTCATTAGACCTCGACTAACTACAGTGCTGAAGTTTTTTTTTTTTTTTTTTTTTGGTTGGTTTTTCCCTCAAGTCTGAATTCCAGAGAAATGCTTCACCATTTCCCCCATTATTATAGCCACCTGGAAGCAGAGTTCATGTATTAGATCAAAAGCATTACAATGAATTATGAAATTTTGTTTCCTGGTGTGCATGTTGGCATGGACGGATAGTAAAGGGAGACTCCTATATTTTGGGGGGACATTTTGTTCTGGTTGCAAACTTCTACATGGGTTAAATCACACCCTAAAATGAGGTTGAAAAATTCTCATATGTAGTCAAATTGTCATTACTTATCTCACCGAATGATTTTTGTTTTTTTAATCTTTTGTATCATGTTAGAATCCTTGGAAGAACTTCCGGAAGCAAGTGGGAAGACAGCCCGGCGATTCTTTTTTAATTTAACATCTATCCCCAGCGAGGAGTTTATCACCTCAGCAGAACTTCAGGTGTTTCGGGAACAGATGCAGGAAGCTTTGGAAGACAGCAGCAGTTTCCATCACCGAATTAATATTTATGAAATTATAAAACCTGCACCAAGCAACTCGAAATTCCCTGTGATCAGACTTTTGGACACCAGGCTGGTGAATCAGAATGCAAGCAGGTGGGAAAGCTTTGATGTCACGCCCGCTGTGATGCGGTGGACCGCACAGGGGCACATCAATCATGGCTTTGTGGTGGAAGTGACCCACTTAGAGGAGAATCAGGGTGTCTCCAAGAGGCACGTTAGGATTAGCAGGTCTTTGCACCAAGATGAACACAGCTGGTCACAAATCAGGCCGTTGCTAGTAACTTTTGGCCATGATGGGAAAGGACATCCTCTCCACAAAAGAGAAAAGCGTCAAGCGAAACACAAACAGCGGAAACGCCTTAAATCCAGCTGTAAGAGACACCCTTTGTATGTGGACTTCAGTGACGTGGGGTGGAATGACTGGATCGTGGCACCGCCGGGGTATCACGCCTTTTACTGCCATGGGGAATGCCCTTTCCCCCTGGCCGATCACCTGAACTCCACTAATCACGCCATTGTTCAGACGTTGGTCAATTCAGTTAACTCTAAGATTCCTAAGGCGTGCTGTGTCCCAACAGAACTCAGTGCTATCTCCATGCTGTACCTTGATGAAAATGAAAAGGTTGTATTAAAGAACTATCAGGACATGGTTGTGGAGGGTTGTGGGTGTCGTTAGCACAGCAAAATCATATATATATATATATATATGTTTGTGTATA